TCAATAGAACATGTAATTTTGTTCCTACCTGTCATCGAACTGTCCAGAGCCTCAGCCACTTAGAGATTGGTGACCAACTTGACTAGATCCTCTTGAGATCTGTGAAAGGGTCCAAGAAACAAAACATTTAAAATGGGAGTTTAACTTACTGTATAACAGTATTTATTGAAAGCAATTTAAATAAAAGTCCCAATGGTTTTTTGTTTCTTTCTTTAGAATAAGAAACGCTTCAGTTTGTGCAGTGACGTCAAATCTTCCATGATAGGATCGAGGTACTAAAGCTATCACAGAACCCCCTTAACTAACTATTTAATGTGTATTTGCAATATTGCTTTAACAGGGTATATGCAGGAATGCTGAAGTCAAATGTAAGACCCTTTACATACATTTTAAGACCTCAACGCCACTTTGAGTTCTAACCGGTTACATTGGCGACACACTTTACCTCACATTGACTATATACAGTATTGATTGTCCTTCCTCCTTATCTTCCAACCATTTGGACGCAGACTTGCATTCCCCCATAACGATGTTGTTTAACAACCGGCGTAAACGGGCCTTCGCGCTATCAAGCAGTGAGCGTGCGATGTCCTGTTCAGATGACGTCAAACCTAACGGGATGCCATAAATAAACTACATAGAATCACACTACACACCTACGCAATGATTACATTCAGGCACACTTTAGAATGCAACCTCTTTGGACAATTTATATACTTATTGAAAACAAGCTACAAAATGTAATACCTTGGAAAATGCCGTTTAATACTTTTTAATAGCCTTAATTTTCGCTAAATTGATTTATCAAATTTTAATACTTTTTAATAGCCTTAATTTTCGCTAAATTGATTTATCACATTTTAATACTTTTTAAGACCCCGCGGACACCCTGTTTAAGCAATGCCGGGAAATGAACTCATCCTGAGCTAAATGTTGACACAATTTGGATAACACTTGCCTGCTCTAGTTTGAAGTAAACCAGAAATCATCTCCAAAATTCACAGCAACGATTGGTCAATAGAGGTCCACGATACAAAAATAATTGCCAACTTTTTGATAATCAATGTCTGATGGAAGTAATTTTTGTTAAAAAAAACAAGTTCCTTATCAAAAATGAGATGAAGATTTTCGCTATTCTGACATTTTAACATTTTATAGACCAAATGAGAGTTTGAATAATCTAGAAAATAATCAGATTCAGAATAACCCATAATAAAAAAATAACTAGTTGCAGGCCTAGTCACGGTAAATCTTTAGTATTTATTCAATAGCAACTATGGTAACAAGTTGAAAGCACTACTATTTATAGGTTACGGTTGTTGTTGTTGTTGTTGTGACTTATTTTGAAGATAATGGAATATTAAACAAAATAAGCCACACTGCTACTGGTACGCAATGTCACAGAACACATTATTCTGACTGCACAGTGTGTGGCCCATTGTAGTTTAGGAACCAGCTCACTCAGAGGAAAGGAAGCAGATGTGTTGGTGAACATAACTATACTTTGACAGGACATCAATATACATAAGTCTATTTTAATGCAGGAGCTGTCTGACAAATGCTGCCAGCACAGCAGAAGCAAACACCCCCCAGGACAGGGTGTTCCTTACACGCTTTAATCTTAGATGTACAGAATGTGAAAAATTATGATCTTATGGAAATGATGCAAATAATCACAATGCCATCCTCCATTATGTGTATGTGACAGCCCTGCATTATGCAATGCAATGCATAGTGCGCTGTCCACCTACCACTATTGCATTCAGAATGCAGAGTGATGGTGTGCATGTCTAATAAATGTTGCAGGAGGATACATTTGGACCATCTACCCCACTGCATAAATCAAGAAGCTTTCCAGCCCCACATTATCAAGGCTTCACTTAGTTGCATGGCCCTTCTGCTCTTCAGCAACTGTCTTCTTCCATCAAATGTTATATCTTTGTTAAACACAAGGCTATACTTATTATGCAAGGAATATTTTAACCATTATACAATATTCTTTTTTTGGTATAATTTTAATTTGACTGAATGAGTGGGGGGTTTGAATACTCTCCATTCAAAATGTCAACATGACATAATATAGACAAAATAATAAACATAAATAAAAATATATATATGAAAAACTAATAACAAATACATTAATTAAAGAACAACAAAGTTGTTCTTTAATTCAAAACCAAAATACCTAATTCAAACGACCAAATAGCTACCTCCAAAATACCTACCTTTTCATGACATCATGAAGGCACAGGTGTTACTGATAATATGAATTATGAGTTTCCTTAAATGTCCCGCTTAGCCAGCCTCGAGTCAATTAGTAATGATTAAATACACCTGTGCTTTTACTATTATGGGTTAGCTGTCCCCAACTACAAATAATTACACTAAGCTAATAAGGCTTTTTTATTAACAGAAATACTACGCAACTGCAGTGATGAATAACGCGTTACTGTAACGCCGTTATTTTGGGCAGTAACTAGTACTCTAAGGCATTACTTTTATTCAGTAACTCAGTTACCGTTACTACATGGTGCGTTACTCCGTTAGTTTTTTTTATATAGTCAACAGCCAGGCGAACAGAGATGACAACTGTACTTAAGTACAGTACTTGAGTAAATGTACTTAGATACTTCCTGTGTCACATGCGGAGACGGGCTGTGGGCGTGTTTGTGTTGTTTACTAACAAGACTATCATGGCGGCGGCGGAGCTCAAGTCTAGTTTCTCCACCTGGAGATATTCTCACTATTTCACTTTTGTCGAGCACAAAGAAAAGAACGTTTTAGTTAAATGTAAGTTGTGTCTTGGCGGGTCAAAGATCTTATCTACTGCCCAAACCAGTAATTCAAATCTCTTAAAACATCTGCAAAAACAACATGCTGGGACGAAGCTAGTAGCTAAGACCACAGAGACTCAACCGACGCCACTCCACCTCCACCTAAGCAACAGCGGCTGGATTTTAACCAAGGGACTGCTAGCCAGGGAAAAGTCGATAAAGCCATTGCACGGTATGTTGTAGAACACATGCAGGCTATTGCTACAGTGGAGTCACCCGCTTTCAGGGAGCTAGTTAGCATGATAGCATGTCCGGGCGGCACACGGCATATGGGACGGAAAACTTTTTCCAACTACCTGGAGAAAGAATATACAAAAATGGAAAGCCAGCTAATATCGATGCAATCCAGATTGCATATAATGCATGTCAAGTTGATCAACAGATTGTATTATTCTCCATTGCAATAACAGTACTGAAATGAAGGCTATAAGGGCATTAATGGGAGCCCTTTTTGCAAGTAACTAAAACGTTACTTTTCACAGTAACGCATTACTTTGGGGTGTAAGTAACTAGTAAAGTAACTGAGTTACTTTTTGAATGAAGTAACTAGTAATGGTAACTAGTTACTGGTTTTCAGTAACTAGCACAACACTGCGCAACTGACACGTTAAATCGTTGTTGTTGCAGGCACATGTTTAAGCAGACATTAGCACTCATTATTAAATACACTTATCTGTGTATCAGATGATAATGTTGTTACGCAGTTGCTAGCTAGTACTCAACAATTAGCTAAAACAATAGCTCTCCCCCAGATGCAAACATCAAAATTGTCGGTATTTTTTCCCTTAATAATAAAAGTAGTCTTTGTCAACTCTGAAAAATAACCCTCAAGTCATTTTGAAGACACTTAATTTACCTGTAAAACACTTATCCGGCCGGACAATTTTCCCTCCGCGGCTCCACAACATCACAGCACAAGTTTGAAATGTAGATGCGTGATTTGAGAAACACATGGCTAGGTTAATGCTAAGCTAGCTGCACGTCACCGTTACGCGCCTGTAAAGCATGGCTGTAAAGCAGCAAGATACAGACCTCTCAAGTCTCAGACACACGCATTTCACTCCATTCACACGCTCACACGCCACACCTTGTATTTCTCACGCAGAGATTTCTTTCCAGGGTACCGCCCACCAAGTTGCGCCGCAATTTTGTAAACAAACTAGTACAAAATCACTGTAGCCACGCATCAACCAATCAAAAGAATGTAAGCTGTCGAACAGCCAATTAGAAAATAACATGGCTGTATCCGGGTAGGATTTAGACATTCCGCTCCAACATTACATTCTGATTCCATTCCAATGATTAAGACGCTCGCTGAAGAGTAACCAAAGAGGACGGCTGTCACATAGTCACTCACTGACATTTTGCGTGGCTACAGACTGCTCGACGTGGGAGAAGACCATATTTTCAGTACAGTAAGTCATCTCATCATTGATTTCCGTTGTTATGGAATATATGTCCAGGGAGCTTTTAGCTAACAGTTTGACTGACTAGACTAGAGTATGCATGAACTAGCCTAGCTAGCCGGTTGAATCCCTGCTAGCTAATTTCAGCAGCTATTCTGACGCTTGTTTTCTTCGGAATTTTGCGCCTACACTAACTTATTATAATGATTATTATTGTTATTTATTATTATCATTGTTGTTATTGTTATTGTTATTGTAGTAAGCACCAAGGCTATTTGCTCCCTTGTTGGACTGTCCCTGTGTCTCCTATTTTCCCGGTGTGTGCGCGCGCGCCAGGGCTGGAAATACATTTTTAAAAACATTTGAATATTTACACAACACATGAACATTTACCAGCCACTGGGGAAAATCTAACAGCCATTCAGTAGTAAACCAATGGTACATTTGTATGTATTTAAAATCTACCAGCCACTGTTATGTTTTACCAGCATTTGGCTGATGGTTGGTGTTCATTTCCATCCCTGGCGTGAGTGTGAGTATATTTTATCAGAAAACAAAGCATATTAATAATTATTGCATTTGTCTTTCAAAGATGTCAGGAAAGAGGCAACTAAGCATTCTTTCATGCTTTCAAAACAATCAGCTCCCTAAAAAGGTGGCCAGATCAGAGGACACTGTAGAGGAGGCAGTAGAGGAGGCAGTAGAGGAGACTGTGGAGGAGGTAGAGGAGGCAGTGGAGGAGACTGGGGAGAACCCATTGGAAACAGAGAAAAGGAGAGGATTATGTGGAGCAGCCACATATAGGTGTTCCTTTAAGAAGGAGTGGTCAACTCGATGGCCATTCATCACAATGGGAACCACCAGCTCCTTCTACTGGTGCTCAGTGTGCAGACAAGATAACTAATGTGCTCATCAAGGCGTGAGGGACATAAGCAGGCATGTGGAAGGCAAGGGACATCGGGCCAAAGAACAGTCTCTAAACTCAGTCAGCAGTATTGCACAGTTCTACGTGCCAGAAACTTCTGTTGGAGGCATGAGTGTACAAGAGGCCAAGGTACATACAGTACAGTGTAGCACAGGAAAACTAAAAAGCTGGCGGCAATGTTTGATGAATTACATTTCTCTTCAAATTGATGGTCATATTACCTTGAAAACGTATTTAAGGTTATGAGATATGTAATCAGTTGTTTCTGTTGCAGACCAGGAGGGCTGAGGTGAAGGTTGCTGTTGCAATGGTGCAGCACAATGTGCCCTTTGCCGTTGCTGACCATTTCAGCCCCTTGTACAAAGAATGTTTTAGAGACTCCCCTACAGCTCAGGGCTTTAAGAGCGCAAGCACAAAAACAACGTGCCTCATAAATGAAGCAGTGGCACCTCATTTTAAGAAGGAACTGGTGATGAAGATGAGAGAGAAACCCTTCACACTTGTCACAGATGGCTCGAATGATACTGGTATGTGCTTAACAACTTCTATCAGTAATTAGTACTTGTTTTTGTATCCATTTCTACATGCACTTATACAATTTGAACAACATATTGTTTTAGTTATGGTCCTTATTGTTACAGGTCTAAAGAAGATGAATCCTCTCACTGTCAGAATTTTTGACACCAACAAAGTTGTGCACAGGTTCCTTGATGTGTGTGTGTGTGTGTGTGTGTGTGTGTGTGTGTGTGTGTGTGTGTGTGTGTGTGTGTGTGTGTGTGTGTGTGTGTGTGTGTGTGTGTGTGTGTGTGTGTGTGTGTGTGTGTGTGTGTGTGTGTGTGTGTGTGTGTGTGTGTGTGTGTGTGTGTGTGTGTGTGTGTGTGTGTGTGTTCCTTCTCCAACCTCCCAAACTTTCTTTTTATGTGTGCATTGTTATTTGTGCTTGAGCAACATTTTACTTGAACTTTATTTCAATGAAATTAGTTGTAATTATTGTCCTACATTTTAATTTGTTTTACAGAGATGTTTCACAGCTGTCTGGGCCTAGTGGCCTACAGGTGGCGTCGTTTATCCAGCAGCCAGAACATCCATCTGTGCCGGCCCCTAGGTCAAGATCTACTGTGGCTCAAGGGCCTTCACCAGAGCGATCACCACCAAGGACCAGCAGACCAGCATCACTACAGCTGCCTCCACCTCCATCTGCGGCTGCCACCAGGTCAAGATACACCTCAGCACAAAGGCTCCACCACAGCCATCACCTTCAACCCAGCCAGCAAGGAGGTCTCGTGGAGGTCTCGTATAGCACTTGTATACCCCACCTACACAGCAGCCCATGCACCATCAACCCCATCTTCACAGCAGCCAGACCCACTGTCTTGGAAGACAGACAAAGACCTTGACACTTTCTTGACATTTATAATGAATAGTTGGTTGAAAGTTCTGATGTTCAATATTGTAAATAGTTAGATTTTCCAGTTTCTTATATTTATATAAATAGTTGGTTGAAAAAAACATATTTATAATAAATTGTTGGTTGAAAAAAAAGGTTGAATGCTCAATTTGTATTTGTACACATCACATGAACCTTGGTATGTAATATGAAGTCATTATTCAGTCCTGATGTATCTCAGTCCCTGCTGTGGTGAAAGTAGAGTGATAAACACCTATTTTACTCAAAATTCGAATTTAATTTTTTTCATTCTAGACATGAATAACACATTTATATACAGTGTAATTAAAATATGTCACTGCTTTTGTGATCCTAAGACTTTATAACCTAATCTAAAACACCAAAACAATTCGATCACATGAGTACATTTGTGTTTTCACAAAAGTTTTGAAGATTTTCCGAAAATCGGATGTCAAATTTTAAGCTTTTGAGCTACTTATCTCATCACACAGTGCTCTAAGGTGAGTAATTTGCATATATAGCAATACCAGAGATTGTCCTGAACATTTTGATATTTAACACATGGGGTGCCATGTTAGAAGAAATACATTTAAAAGGTGATTTATGAAAACATCTAAAAATCGAGAAAATACCCTTAGACTCCAGAGGGTTAAGTATGTTGTTTGTTTCATTGACAGTAATACAGGTGCATTACACCAGACTAAATGTGTACTTTTAAGCACTGACTGTGTTTATTTACAGATGAGAAACAACCAAGATTTAGAAGGCTGGTGGATGCATTTTCCAACCCCCTACCTACTCTTCTATCAAGCGACGCTGCCAGTGTTCACCCTACTGAACCTCCTCCTCCATAGAGAAAGGTCTTCCATCTTTCAGCTCCACGGAGAGGTAAAATGCAAGGGTTAGGCCATCCTGCTGCCAAATACAGTATGTCTGCTTGAATTGGCTGATATGTCCTTTTTCAAGTAATACATGGAAATGTTTTATGAACTACAAATTTGCAGATGACAAAGTTCATCAAGAAACTGTGTGCGAGGTTCATGAAGCCGTCAGCACTACTACCCACTAAACCAACTGCCAGGTAAAAGTTTCATATAAAGAGATACACCTGTATTCTCATTGACCTCAAATATACTTTTTGGGAAGATTGTTGTTATTGGGCAAGTTGGGTGATATCTCTGTTATGGCTGTTAAAAAGCATGTGTGTAGGCATACTATGCTTGTGTAGTTTATGGGTAAAATGGTATGCTTCCATAGAGGAATACCTTCAACCACTTGAACATATTGTGCACATAGTGCTCAAAACTAGACAGACTGAATCTATACACTGACGGTTTGTCTAGTTTTGAGTTAAATTGCCAAGTGAAATCCCTGTCTCTACCTGATGCATATTGTTGAAACTACCTGGACTTAATTTGCTTCTCTATCTCTTTCTGTTCTCTGTCTGGTAGGAGAAAATCTAAATGTTGGCTTCACCACCAGAGCTACCCTCAATAGGCTCCTTGAGGCTGGAGACATCACACCTCAGGAGGTGCAGCTATTCCAACAGGCAGCACTGGCATTTCTGGTCAGGGCTGTGGAGTATGGCATCAATAAACTCCCTCTGAAGGAGGCTCTTCTGAGGCATACAAGATTTGTGGATGTGCAGCAGAGGACTGAGTGTGGGGTGGAAGATGCCCTATACTTTATAGACAGGTAAGGGTTTCCACATTTTCCAGGATTTCAATACTTTGATTGAATACATTAATCAGTTCTTTACACATGGTGCTCTTTTTAGATTTCAGGAACTACTACCTTTCCATGGGCCGGAGGAACAGGACAAGGTGTGTGAGCAGTTCCTGGAATATCAGCTGATGGATATCCCCATGCCCCAAGATCCCACCACCTTTAATGTTGAGGAGTTTTGGGGGAGTATGTCCTCAATCAAGTGCAAGGTGTAGAGTTATATTTGTATTTATTCATGTTAGCAAACTATGGATAAGCTTAAAATGGGAATAATTTGGGTAAAACTGTGAGCTGGATATGGGGCCTGTTGACATGTGTTTTTGAGGACAAAGGAAGATGGGAGAAGGTGAGAGCATGTCCTGATTTGCATTCAACTTAGAACGAGCTACAGTGGTTGTGATATTAAGAGAGGTCCCTTGGGTTTCTCTGGTGGTTATCAACAGTAGCAGTTAAGTGAATACTGTTCAAACAATACCTGTGTTTGTGTTTTATATTGATTTCTCTGTTTTATCCTTTCATAAATGTAAGGACTACAAATGGCTATAAACATTCTGGGCTGGTTGGAGTAAACAGGGTTTTATTGCTCTGTGGGGGAGGTGTAGGTATGCAGGCCTTGAGACCTTTTGTTGGAAAGTGAGCCTGTTTGGTTTCCTGCTGCGTTTCCTGCTGCGTTGCGTCTCCCAATGAGATGACCTGAAAAGATGACCAGCTGACCTAACACCAAACCCCTCCTTCTTACTCTGGTATATATCCGGTGGATCCCTGGCGTTCGGCCTCTTCTTCACATGCTGCCCTCGGGTGAAAGTAGCTCTGCAGTATGCGAACCAGGGCAGGAGTAAGCCGGTATTACTCCTTAAGCATTACAATATAACTGTAATATATCATGTTGTATTGTAATGATTGTATTGCATTGTCATATTGCCATTAAAGTAGATTATTGTTAACGTTTACTTTGTAGATATGGATTCCTTCCTGTATTATAACCAGCTTCATAGGAACGCGCGGAGATTTGAAAAGCGGATCAGATATCCCTTTTAATCTCCAACAAAATGGTGACCCGACGTCTATAACGAAGCTGAGGAAGAATTCAGACGCTTTCAAACATCTCAGACAATCAGCAGGACTCTGCAACTTTGCAAATAAGGTAAGCAGACGATGAAAGTCGCCTGTCTGTAATTGGATACGCTAAAACTTTAGGATTGTCTGTAGGCGTTTCACAGTGTTTTTATAGTTTAAATGGAATATACAATGCATATTTTACTATGTTAGGAAAGTTATATACAAAACGTAAACGTTGATCGACAGGTAGACGAAAGTCCTGCGTGACGTAAAATAGAGCAGTTTGGCGTGGATCTGCAGGTAGATTATTCCTGAGTGGCGTGGAAATGGTGCAGTTTGTGTGAATGCGAGGTTTGAATCCTGCACGGCAAAACCTGGAAACTCGATAAATCAGATCGAGTCGCCGTTTAAAACTGGGGTTTAAATAACAGACCAATGCTAAAAGCTTAAAGCCAGAGGTCTGTTATATATTAAACCAAGGTAGAGCGTTTCCCTTTGTCTGGAAACTTCTGCTGCTGCCATCTAGTGGCTGAAAGGGGGTATCACACCCTTGAAACTTCTGCTGCTGCCATCTAGTGGCTGCAAGGGGGTATCACACCCTTGAAACTTCTGCTGCTGCCATCTAGTGGCTGCAAGGGGGTATCACACCCTTGAAACTTATGCGAGCTTAGAGTTTAATCATTACATTGCTGGCCGGTATTGAAGACGGGAAGCACGTTCCCAGTATATTATAACTGATTTTGGTAAACTGGTACAAAACAATAAGGGATTGAACATTTTTTACAACGACAGCACCAGGAGATGAGTAAACTCAAGAATCTGTGGAGTGTAAATACATTGTGCAAAACACATTTTACACTCGAACTGTTTGCAAATTTAGACAATATAAATAAATGTTCAGAAAGAAGACATAGGCCTACACTTGATTCAAATGTCATTACTGTGATCCGATTGGTGTGCTCTGCAGGTTTACTATTGTTCGAAGTAACAGTGGGATTTAAAATAAGAGAAGATATGGAGATGTTCTTTCGTAGTGTGTGGAATATGTGATGCTGGAAACATGTAAGTATTTCAGAGTTGTGTTGGGTAAATATGTAACAATGGATGAAACAATTTTTGGAGGGAGTTTTTGTAATATCATAAGTAGACATTAATTATGTTGTTTAGATGGCATTTAACAACTAAGACAGATAGTATGATTAGACAGAGTGGAAAGGGTTGGATTTATTTAACATCAGTGGGCTAGACTTCTTATAGGTAATGTGTACCGAGACCTGGACTCCCCCTCTGAGTTAGAAAGGCTTTGATCCCGACCCTCCAAGCAGATAACGAGACCTAACCCAACAGGAGACTCCTCCTTCTCCATCGTACAGACAGAGAACCAGAGCTGAACCAACAACAACAACAAGACTACATCAAGACTGCAGCCAGAACTAACTCCACCTGTGGCATCCAGAACCAAACCAGCATGCTGACAAAGAGGCAAACTCTCATCGGTCCCTCAAACAGGACATGAAGTTCCAAACTGCGCCGCGAGATTTGGCACAATAGACATGAGAGCAGAATCCGCCCTCCATAAAAACAGCAGAGAGACTGTAAAGGAGGAGTGCAACAACAGTGGCATGATGGGGCTGCAGATGTGACTGGGCCAATGGCTGCCTACAAAAGTTACAGCGGATGGATTCAACAGCTGATGGACTGAAGAGAAGACAGAATCAGAGGAGTTGGCATGGTCGATTAGAAGTGAGGAGGCCGGGGTCACGGCTTGAGAAAACCAGGGGAGGAGGAAAGGAGAACGGGAATGAGTGAGTTACACATAAACACACTTATTCACAAAACGCACATTTAAATAACTTGAATTAACTTCATAAATACGTAAAGACAGAAGGATTTGTTAATCAATTGGTCAATTGAAAATAGCAGTAAAGAGGAAACTATTAAAGTAAAATGATAATCATCCTAAAACACACTGACAGAGTAGAACCATATTCTTCAATATTTTCATCATGTTAACAATTCATTCTTTAAGACATTTTTATTCACGTGTGAATAAAGTAGTGATCTCATTGGTTACAATATTGATCACCATTAAAAGGATAGTTTTAGGAACCACTCTATAGGACAAATCTTTGTTTGTATTAATGGCTAGTGCCAAGCCACATATTAAATTCCAATCTAAAGTGTTGATTTCACCATTGTGGCATAGTTATTACCAGACTTCGGTTTTAAATCCTTGATAAAGGAGGGAGTAATTGTTGCATGTTCGGACACCCAAGGTTCCACACACTGCTAAAGAGTTTAACATCGTTTTTTAAGTAGACCAGAATTATAATGAGCTATGAAATGCAGAGCGACACAGATCCTAGTAATGTTTTGACTCAAGATAATAGTTATTGTACAAAAGTTTCTGAAATAGATCATTAGACATTTTAATTAGTAGTGGTACTCGAAGGAAGTGAGTTTTGTACCAAGTTTCAGGAAAAGTGGGAGGCGGAAGTCCCAATGACAAGTGAGAATCATCTTGAAAATTATAGTTGAAATCGTGACATATTTTTGTAGACAAAGGATACTGGCCTATGCTGAAATGTCAAAGTCTCTGCAGAGCACGACACATGGCCAAAAAAGACGGAGACCAACTGACCTTTGACCCTGACCGACAGTGTAACTTGACAAGGCACTGTGGATGACTGACTCTGGGGTGAACCTGACCAAACTTGACATGACAACCAGACAGTGTGAGTGTGAATGTATGCCGGCATGTGATCAGTGTAACTGCATGATTCTAAAACAATAACTAACCAAGCATGTTTTTGGACTAACATATTATTTTGGAGCTCCAAGGGAAACGAGAGGTTTCCTAAAAATTCCACAAAAAGGGGAAACCACACATGTGATATTTTCCTCTCACATGAGTTGGCGGTTTGCAAATGTAAAACTACAATCTGAAGATTCTGTTTCTTTTAGGCCTGAAGGACGGAGAGGAACACTTCTTTTCACTGAAGTGTTCACTGTGGAAATAATGATAATAATGTTCGTTATGTCCCTAACCAATTACCTGACAGTTTTTGTTCCCCTCCCATTACAGGCTTTTGTTACACATTATTTCATGTGTAAAAAGGGGGAGTGAGTATAATGTATAAATGTTAACATGGCTGTAAAATTCACAATTTAAATTTTTCTTTTAAGGATTGACAGAAACCTTCCGCCCCAACCCAGATGTTCAAACTGAGCATTGAATGTAATTAACCTGCTCCATATCTGGGGATAAGATACTGTTTGATGAAGGTTGAGATGTTTCTAAATATTGATTTGAATTATAGCAGGTAACAAAGAAGCAGTGGCCAAGGGGCTACTGTGAAACCGAAGAAGTTGACCTGTGATAATGAAACCATTTTGTAATATTTTAACAGACATTAGAGTAACTGAGGTTTGAAATGTAGAAAGAACATATTACAGTTAAAGCTAAAACATAGTAGTGTATTGAGACAGAATTTAAGTTAGACAACATCATGTAACTAGCCTGGTAAAGAAGTAAAAGCCATAGACTTTATTGTTTAGGTCATTATGGGGATATACATTTCATCTAAATTTATAATAGAAAGACATTTGATGACAGTTTGTTGGAATTCTGTATTCATTTTTTCAGCGTAATAATATCTAAGCACTGACAGGTAGAAGCAGTATCACCAGGAAATCATTCACTTTGTTAGCATCGTGATTTTGGTTGTTTTTGAATCCATAACATTAGTGTGTTTCTTTACCAGAAACATTAGCAGTTCATATTATATTTGGATTTTAAATAGGATTTCATTTAAAAATAAACACGGATGCTTGTCAGAAATTCAGAGCTATTGAAATATGTTATTTAGTTTACCTAAAGATGTTGAGGTTCTTATTTAGTTGGCACAATCCAAGTATTAAGATTCTGAAGCTGTACTGGCAGATAGGAGGTCTACAATTAATTTGGAAAACCTGTTCACAGACGGCTGTTGTTTCAAGACACCCCACCAACAGGCTCCAAGTGGGTCAAAACAGCTGAGCGTAGGCTTGAGGGAGTTGTATCAGATTTCTCCACACAGGTCGCTGGCGCCAAAAGGGGGACCCGAGAAGCACGAGGCCGACAGCAGAGTTCGTCTGGCTGAAAGTCATCAGGACAAAGTGGCTCAACCCCAGGCTCTCCGACCCCGACCGAGTGACCCAGCGGACCTCTTATGCCGTCTGCCTGGGAGAAAAGGGGGACAGCTCGTACCACGGAGCCAGTGTGCGGCGGGGAAACCACCTACTAGGACCAGGGGACGACATCAGGACGGACGTGGACTACTCGGAAGCAGCAGACTGGAGGAGCAGGACCCTGGAGACATCTCTACAGCATCGACCCGGAAGCCGCCATCAGCGGGCCGGAGGACGAGGAGGTGGAAGACATCTCTCTAGCAGGCAGCCCAGAAGCTGCTGTCAGCGGATTGGGAGACAAAGACACGGCAAGCCAGGACGGCACAGGGGACTTTTCGAGGCAGCAGAGGAGTCTACTTCGCTCTGATCAGTTCTACCCGTGAGGGGAAAGCTGCATCTCCCCCTCCCTATTAGCTGTCCTTGTGGGCTATTCCTCCGAGGGGGGGGGGGGGGGGGGCTGATGATTCTAGCACTCAGCTACCCCCTCATGGTTCCTTCACTGCCATGGAAAGTGGTGTTCGGTCTCCATGAAGGTTTCAAGTGCTCTAAATACCAGCTTCGGATGGATTTACGGACACAGTAGAAAAGAATGACCGTGGGTATATTTCAAAATGCCTTGTCTAAGTTTATCTCTGGAGAAGGAGATAAAAAGGGGGATTTGTAGAGTTATATTTGTATTTATTCATGTTAGCAAACTATGGATAAGCTTAAAATGGGAATAATTTGGGTAAAACTGTGAGCTGGATATGGGGCCTGTTGACATGTGTTTTTGAGGACAAAGGAAGATGGGGGAAGGTGAGAGCATGTCCTGATTTGCATTCAACTTAGAACGAGCTACAGTGGTTGTGATATTAAGAGAGGTCCCTTGGGTTTCTCTGGTGGTTATCAACAGTAGCAGTTAAGTGAATACTGTTCAAACAATACCTGTGTTTGTGTTTTATATTGATTTCTCTGTTTTATCCTTTCATAAATGTAAGGACTACAAATGGCTATAAACATTCTGGGCTGGTTGGAGTAAACAGGGTTTTATTGCTCTGTGGGGGAGGTGTAGGTATGCAGGCCTTGAGACCTTTTGTTGGAAAGTGAGCCTGTTTGGTTTCCTGCTGCGTTTCCTGCTGCGTTGCGTCTCCCAATGAGATGACCTGAAAAGATGACCAGCTGACCTAACACCAAACCCCTCCTTCTTACTCTGGTATATATCCGGTGGATCCCTGGCGTTCGGCCTCTTCTTCACATGCTGCCCTCGGGTGAAAGTAGCTCTGCAGTATGCGAACCAGGGCAGGAGTAAGCCGGTATTACTCCTTAAGCATTACAATATAACTGTAATATATCATGTTGTATTGTAATGATTGTATTGCATTGTCATATTGCCATTAAAGTAGATTATTGTTAACGTTTACTTAGATATATATATATATGTTTATTAGTAGATATGGATTCCTTCCTGTATTATAACCAGCTTCATAGGAACGCGCGGAGATTTGAAAAGCGGATCAGATATCCCTTTTAATCTCCAACAAAGGTAAGAAATATGTGGCACCACATAACATACACATAATTAATTGAAATCAAAAGCAAAGCATTTGAGTAATAGAGTCTCTTGGTTCCTTTTTTTAAAGGTGACCGGTTTGAGCCAGTTTGGGAGGCTCACTAAAATAGCTCAACTTGTTCTAGTGCTCCCTCACTCTAATGCCGACGCGGAGAGGGTTTTCTCGATGGTTGGACTGAACAAGACAAAAACTATGAACAGCTTGGCCCTAGATGGAACACTGTCCTCCATCATGACAGTGAAGATGGCAGGCCTGGAACCAAACTGTTTCAGATGGGAGCCACCAGATAAGACCACCGTCCCCACCCAAAGCCCCGCCGCTGCCAAAATCTCACTCTGAACTCTGTTCAAAACTTGAGAGCCCTGAAGATACAAACTTTACAAATTAGGCCAAGAAGTGTGTTTGATATTTAAAACATATAAGATAAATTGTCGTTGTGTTGATGCGAATTGTTTGTTACCTTCAAAGTGTTTTATAATGTAAAAACTTTCATTTTATAAAAAGTTTTTTAAATAGTACACGGCCAATCTTTTTTTGAGAGTAGCTGGCCTTCTTGTAATATTCAGGGACTGTGGGAAATAGCAGTAACATCAGTAGAGAAGTGTTGATATATCACGCAGTTTTTAAAAAGCCTGTAGGATATCAAGGCAGCAGGAGGAGGATTTCAGATGTTGCAACTTCTTTTCCAAAGGTTTCATCATTGATAGGATCAAATGGTGTCATGTAAATTGACCTGGTTGGAGAAAAAAAAACAATGTCCAATATCAAGATTTTCAACATTTTGACAGTGAAGAATGTACAATTGAAAAGAAGGCCCATTTGTTATTATTGTAAATAATGATTCCTTGCATTTCTGAATTCAAAATTACAATCTCAATTATAAAGTCTCTCTTTATAGATGTTATTGTGCAGTGTAGTTGTGTTTTTTGCAACCTACAACAAAAGTGTCCATAGTTATTAAGAATACAACACAGATTTATAGTGCTGCTGTTCTGGGGTTTCAACATTAAAGGTAAAACCAATCAAAGACACAGTCAAAGTCAATGCAGATCATAAACAGCAGTTTAGCAAAGTCATCATCAGTTTTACTTAAGGAAGAATAAATGTAGGACAGATAAATATACAATGTTTTGAGTTTGGCCCAGCTGTGAACTCCAATGAGTTCAAGATGGGGTTATAGGGGGATATAGAGAAGGTGAATTTCAGGTGAGCATATGTGGGTGAACAATCTCTCGGCGCTGATGTCCTTCAGTTTTTAAACATAGATAAATAATGGATCTTCACAGTTTTCTTTTTGTATCTCAGAGTTAGCTGAAGTGGTTTGAGGCTTGAGGCAACTGGAAAGCGTCATGCTGAGCTGGAGCTCATAAAATACAAAAAAACTGCTGATTAAATCAATCATGACCAAAGCCGTTCTACAGTTTTAACTGAAACTCGTCGATGAATTTCAAAACCAAAGCAGCAGGCTATCGTTGTGAGGCTGTCAGGTATACGTTGAACGTTTTAGTTTTCACCCTAACATTACATTTTACGAGGGCTAGAATATATGTATTTATTTATAAGAAATCCGTCTGGATCTGCCGCTGTTTGTGTCATTTGTATCTTTGTTGAACTGCATCGCTGCTTGATGTTTGCTTCTCTATAGTTTCAAACTTTCACCATTCAAGTTGGTTTTCCATCAATTGGAGATGCAGTTGATTTGGGGTTTTTGGTCGATGAAAAATACATTGCCAGCCTGAATGATGAGCAGAAGTCTCCTCTGGCTAATATGGATCACAAGGGAGCTGATGTCACTCTGCGCAAGAGCGGTAAGCTGTAATAGACGCATTGCCCTCCTTGAAAAAAATAAAATGTCCTTTGTGATTAATTAATTAAATGTTTATTCTTCAACTGGTTGTCAGTTATTTCTTACACTCTGACATCAGCTGTGATAGAACATGACAATTGTAACATAGACATAGATTTACTGTACAGTGTTTGTTTATGTTTAAGCCTAGATTAGTTTCGATCAGGGGAGACTTTGATGATTGATTTCATTGAACACGATTGTATTTATTGCCAAGAATACACGGATGAATGTAATAGTGTTGGGGATTAGACCCCGTTGTGTTAAAATATATATTTGGGGAGGGGGAAACCAATATTAGAACCCCCCCCCCGGGTCTAGACATGGTGGTGTTGGAGGGATGAAGGGATTGAAAGGAGCTGAGCTGACAAACTACTTTGTAAATCAGAGCATTTTTCAATTCATTTAAAAAAAAGAAGTTGACACAATTTAATTTCCATTCTGTCATTCTGCTCCACATTAAGTGATTTCTCTCATTGTTTGTGGTAAATCCTGTGCTCAGAGGAATCTGACCAAAAAGAGAAAGAGCTGCTGAGTTTATAAAGGGAAGAGAAGTGGAACTAAGACTGTTTTCAATGTGGGGATTCTGACTTGGCTTAGCTCCTCGGTATTAAACTTGCCAAAGCAGACGGTGAAAGGCACAAAAACAATACATGAAAATTGGGTTTTAATCAAACAGCGTGGAAACTTCATGACTTTATATTTCATGCTGCATTCAACATTGTAGAGAGTAAGCACTATAACAACACATTTATTTTTGTCTTGGAACTGGTATTTAGTGCCATGAAGTTATGAATCACAGCAATATTAGTCAGGCTATTAACATTTGAGCAAAAATATGTCAGTGCTGTATTTATCTTGCTGAACCTTGACTCAGCATAGCTGGCAGTGGCTGAAATTAACAGATGGTGTTTGGTTGTTTATGCAAATGTGTTGAAGGACAATTTTTACATTTTACAACATCTTGTTAATACAAATGCAAGATTATTCCTTCAGTCAGATTTGAGTTGCTTATTGTGCATACTTCCCAAAATAATGACACAATGAGAAAATATTTTGTATACTGTATTTCATGGCAAGTTCTACATGTAAAGTCACTTCCTTACCACTTGATACACTTACAGGCATAACCAATGACACCACAGATATGAATGAAAAACACAATATTTTATGCTCAGCCAATACCTTGTACATCTAAGAAGACTAAACAAGCTAAAATAGCCTACATCTTTCTACACGGTGTTGTGCTGTCATGTTGGTGCCATAACTGTAACTTGAAACCCTCAGTGTTGAGACAAGTTTGCCTTCCAGTTGGCGTTTCTATTTCAGGGGTTATTACACCACATCTATCAAAGTCAGAAGTCAAAAAGTCTGACTTAACATTTCTGGAACACAGCACATCTGCTGAGTGAGGAACAAAAACGCCCGCTTTAAACCTCTTTGGAGAAGTGGGGAACAGGCGCTCTTTGATGTTTCAGGGCACAGTTTAGCACAACATTAGTATTCACTGGTGATGCATGACATGAAAGGCAAATGCTATTCTTCCTTACCGTATAAATTTGTGCAGTGCGAGACGACTTTCTATTTGACAGCTCATTTGTGAGTCCTTAAGGCTTATAGTAGGCTTCACCCTTTCAGTTTACAGACACGCAAATCTCCACCTATTCTCTCAGGTGGAAACCTCCCTGGACCTTTGCCCATAAGCACACACACATCACACCTACACACACCTTCTGAGGAGTTACAATGACTACTGCAGCTGTTTCTTGGTTTATTTTTGTCTTATTTTGTTTTGACAAGATAATATTGGAAATGTTGCGTCTGTGTTCATATATTATCCCAGAGGTGTATGTTTCTCAATTTGTGTATGACCACAACCTGTAATCTAGCAGCAGAGGTTTTCTAAATCAGGCACTAATGTGAACATTTACAAACACCTCGACGAGTTTTGTGCCCTCATTTGCCTTTCTAGTTAAACAATGCCTTTAACTGTCACATCCTAAAGCCCTCTGATCAACTCATAACTTGAACATGTGTCCTCAGCAGAGATTCCTGTTAGAAACAGGAAGCATCGAGCCACTGGAGACTTTCAAGAGGCTAATAGCGACACTTTGGATTTCCTCACGCTTCACTTACAGGAGGCCTGTTATATCGTACCGACTGCCCTGTTTTAAACACAAGTCATGGCACAACAATGGCTTGTCAGACTAGAGAAGGTGTTAGTTTAAAAGCCTGAAATGAGTAGCTAATATGTCATGGGAAGAAAAACACCTTCAGTATGATTCAGTCTTAGCCTGCTGCCCTTCAAGAAAGTATACTATATGTTATTGTGTCAAATAGATATGACTGCCTCATCATGTCTTTGCCTTACTTAGTCGCACATTGGATATGCAACTTAAAGGGATAGTGGAAATCCGCGAATTTTGGGTTTAACTTATGTATTTTTATTAAAAATAAGCATAATAAACAATTTTTTTTTATTTCATGCGCCTAGTTTCATTTTATTTTCAATTTTACTGCGCCCTCTCAATGAAACGAAATACTTCGGGAATCGTCGGGAATCTTCGGGTGATGACGAGAGCATAGGAAGACGGGCACAAACAATGGCGGACATTCAATAGCATTTGCATGTGAATAGCCGACCTTTATTATGGTGAATATATGTGTTTTGTATGGCTGTTGTGCGACAGCAAATGCAGAGAATGGCGTATCGTAATAATTCTACGTGACACAACGACATTGGATTAACCTTGAGATGCGTTTTTATTCCGTTGAACACAACTTTTGATCACAAATCAAAAAAGGTAAGACGTAATTATTGTAATATTTTTGGAACCGGATGTTGTTTACTTTCTCTTTTCTGGCTGATAGCTCCAGGAATTCGAGGTCTTACAGTGATGACATTACATGTGTGGAATCTGTGGAGTCTCAGCTTTAAATCGTATATCTTGTTTGTGCAGTTAAGATAGTAATAAGGGAATTTCTACCGTGTGTTGTGTGTAAAAAAGCGTTAGCATTAGTTAGCATTGTTTCGCTCAATGCTAATTCAAAGGCTTGGTATTACTCTTGTGTTTTTTCTAGCTAACAATTGTTCTTATTGTCAGTTAGCGGAGTTTCTTACCTTTAAAAGGGTATGAAACATTAATAGTTTCATAAATGTTAAGAAGCCCTGAGACATGTGAGAGAAAAAAAACTGTGGGAGGGGTCCACTGGGGGGACCTTCGGGCTTAACTGGTTAACAATGATTAATATTTGTAAAGGCTACAGGTGATCTTAAGATGCGTGAGCTATGCTTAGGGACCTACCAGTCAAGATTATTTGTGCGTAGGGGTGCATCATCTGGCGCCTGGTCCTGGTCATCCTCGCCATTGCCCATGCCGTGAACCATCACCTCGGGCTCGAACAAATAAGGACGTAATGGTCCATCGTCTGGCTCAATATTGTCACCATCGTCGCTTACTGAACCGGATTCAGATTCAGTTCCTAAAACGACATTTTCGTAGGAAAGCCGAGAGGATGTTTCTGACTCGCTATCATCACTGGATACCTCGTACAATCCTTCTTCTTTGTCTGGTATATTTGCCCTTCCACGTTCATTCTGCATAGACGCCATGGTTTGTTATCGTATCGTCTTCCTGAGTTTTCGTCACTTCCGGTTTGGCTGAGTCGAACATTTCGTTTCTAAAAAACTTCGGGGAAGCTGCAATAAAGTGCTTCTAACATGCGTAAGGCATTTATTATATTTTTTTAATCAGGTGTGATTGTT